CTAGTGTTCACCAAAAAACAATTAGTGACAAGAATTTGAAGTCAAAGAAATTGAATTCAAAAATATAATTATTTTAAAATCTGAATCTAAATTAATTGTGAAATATGTAGACATATAATAAAATTATATATATTTTGTTTTAATTGATTTTAAATTAAATGTGTTTTCCGTAACAATTGTTTGACAAAATAAATTTAAATTACTTGAATCTATGGTTATTTTATAATTGTATTTATTTTAACAAATTTATTTATCAAATCATTATTATGTATTTATTTTCCACTTATTTGTGACAAATTATTATACAAATAAAGACAATGTTTTCTTAAAATTCTTTCAATCATTTTTAAACAATCAAAAATAAAAATACTAAAATCACAAATTATAGTAACATCTGGACTGAAAACACAGAGAGATGTCCGGCAGTGATAGCAATGGGGGTGAGGGCTCACAGGAGGGGCAGAGGAGGCGACGAAGACCAGAGTGGACGGCACCCATCAGACAGACAATCCCGGGCTCCGCCACTCCAGACCTGTGGCGCCAACACTTGAGAGCTATATCCCAGCGACGGATCGGCCAAATCAGAGAAACAGAATCACAAACACAAGACATTTCACCATCTTTGAGATCAGTATCACCCGCAGGGTCTGTGACATCGGGCACATCACACGTCATCGAAGATTTTCCCGTTAGTTCCATATCTTCTTATAGATCCGTATCTCCGACCCAATCGGTGTCGTCCGGCGGATACACACCTCCGCCCAGATCTTTATCGCCGACACATTCGCTCACTTCTGCCCACAGAATATCGCCGACACCCCCACCCGACTCTCCATTTGCCCCAACTCTGCAGAGTTCGGGTCGTGGAGGGTATGTCCCGGCATTGCCTCCTATGCCAGACCTCGACCGATACGGTTATGGCAACGATAGCGACGCCGACGACGGCAATGACTTTGTGCCCATACAGCCGGCAGCACCGCACAGGCAGTTAGTGCCCATTCAGCACATCCAGGCTAACAGACCGCGACCAGAGCCGAGCGCTGTCGAGTTCGACGTCGGCACCGGTGAGGTTAGAATCAATATGCCGTCCGCAGCACCGCATCGGCCGCTCAGACGGAGCCAATCAATGTCCGCTATTGGGCGCCGGTCGGGAGGGTTTGAGCTGACAGATCAAAGAGACCCACCGCTCGCTCAGTACACATCTCTTCAGGACTTTGATCCGCCGGAGTGTACGCTTTGCGGCGCCGAACCGTCCATTCGGTACAATGTGTGCGGCTGTCGACACGCGTCCGCCAATATCTGTATGACTTGTTTGCGGCGTTCAATCGTCACTCGTGTCCCCTCACTCGACCAGCGCCACGACCTGTGCTATACGTGTCACTCTCCTTATGAGGGCATTGAGTACGTGATCGGTCCTAACCCTCGATGGACTACATTCGGTCGCTTTCTAATGAACAGTATTCACGGCGATAGTATTGTAATATACGGGCCCTTATTGTTGGCGGCAATGATGGCCACTTATGTCGGGTACTTTCACCCTGGTTCTTTTCACATATTTGGCCCAATAGTTATCGGTTTAATGACTGCATTTTATGTGTCCTTTTTGGCCATCTATTACAGAGAGTATCGGAATAGGAATTTAGACAGAGAGACAGTTGTGGACATTAGGATCGATAGGGATTCAGCTCTCCTCAGAAGCCCTGAAGACTATGTCTAAAATTTAAAAAGTCCATTGAAATCATATGAAGTTTAGTTTATCATAATAAAGAATTGATCCAGGGTTGAAAATCATTTAAACTAATTATTAGATTTTAATTAATATTTTAATTATAAGTTTGAAGTTATAGTGAAGTAGATTTCAAATTAAATATAACTTTTACAATTGTAAAATCAATAAAAAACAAATACAAAAAATGAAACATTTTCTCAAAACAAAATTATCAAATTTAGAAATTGACTCAATGAACGCGTTTCTCGACTCTCAGCACAACCTCTTTCGGTATAATTAGTCCCAAAGTGTGGTTCCGTTCGGGCGGACGCTATGGGCAACACATTTAACAATATTAACTAAAATTACTAAATTTTATTTATAAATACAAACCGAAGTTTTATCGCATATTTCAAACCGATAATTATATACGGAGTAAAGTATAGCCAACTTTGCCTCCATTAAAGCCAAGCGTTTGGCCACACAATTACGCGGTCCGCCGCCAAACGGGAGGTGAGCGTACGGGTGATGTGTTATGTTTTGTGGTAAAAACCTCTCCGGTTTAAACTGTTTGGGATCTTTGAAGTGCTCCGGATCTTCATGTAATACACAAACGGGTATTTGGATTATATCACCCTTAAAGACGTTGATGTAATCATCGGGACCTCCATCACCGGTAAGAGTGATATCTTCGGAGGCCTTTCTTTCTAGTGCCAGAGCCGGTGGGAACAGACGCAGAGTTTCCATAAGACAGGCATTTAGGTATTCAAGTCTTTCAATGGCATCGTAATCGATGTCTTGCTGTAGAATATATTAATATTTATTACTATTTAAACAAATTTAAGTAAATAAATAAATTGTAATTTACTTTAGACTCAAAAATACTCTTTGACTCTTCAAATAACTTTTGTTGCGATTCCTGGCTTTCGGACAACAGATATATGGCGTACGATATAGTGGTTGATGTCGTGTCAAAACCGGCGATAAAAAACAACACACATTGCGATATCATCTCCTCGTCTGACATACCTTTGCAATAGAGTTATGTAATTGTTTTTCTTATTTCTAAACACTATTTATGACTTACTTTTGGTATTTAGTTGCAAAGGAGTTGTCTGTTCAAATCAAATCAAATCAAATCAAATCATGTTTTATTTAGAGAGTCATGTATTCACCAATTGGTGCTATTCTTACAAAAACTCTTATTGAATATAAAATTACATAAAATTATTTAAAATACAAAATTTACATAAAAATATTTTTAACATTTGTTAAGAAAGTATTAATCTTTGGAGAAATTCTTAGTGAGATATCTAATTGGTTCCACATTTTGATTCCTTTATGAAATATGGTATTCTGTGTGTAATTG